TTTTTATTTACAGAGGGAAGCTCTTACAAAGAGAACTATGGTAAAATGCAAGCTAAGAAAAGAGTATCTATTTAACCCTAATTTAATATTCCTAGGAAGACTGCTTTATAGGAGTTGTGGATGAAGAGAATTTTGCCATGCTTTAAAAAAATCACACTAAAATTAGTATGTATGCAGGCCCATTTTGATATATTGCAACAACGTTTTCTGTTCAGACAGGAAATCGCCATAGCAGGGTAGCAGCCCTGGTTACCCCTACCAAGTTCATTTAGACTGAAGAATTCATCTCTTAGCTAAGTGTTGCCTAGCCAAGCTACTGAACATTTCTTCCCTGTTTTCAAGACAGTGTGGCTGAGAACATTTTTTCCTTTTATTTTATTGTGGAGAAGCTTGTAAAATACAGATCAAAACACAAGTAAAAAAACAGCCAGCCTATTTGTATTGAAAAGTCTGGGAGATGAACTCTTAACATAATAAAAAATGGCACTGAAGCTTTAAACCATTTGAGTATTTCCTTGTACAACCTTATCAAAACTTTTAGTCAGTCATGTACATTCTGTCTCTCTCTGGCCTTTCATAATAGAATAAATCTCCCCCCCCCCCCAATGGCTGATTCCAAGAATAAAATACAAGGGAAGATAATAGTGCTAAAGTGTGTTTTCTACAGGATCCTCTCAGTTCTCTCTTACTTAGTATCAGTATCTGAGCCTTCTTTTATATGTATATATATACACACACGTTAGCTGCATCAAGTTAGTGGGGAAAAAAGCTAAGTGTTTTTATTAAGTCATTATGATACTAGTCCCCCTAAAGAGTCTTAAGAGAAGCCAAAGCTGAGAAATGAACAATTTGAAATATCGGTGTTTCATCAATTGAAGCCATAGAGGACAGGAGCTCCGAATTCTCTCTCAACTGCATTCTGGGTCATTTCACTGTGACTCTCTCCGATCCCATTGTTGGTGGCTGGCGGTGGGGTGGGAAGGGTTAAAGGTAGTCTTTCTCTTACCAGATTCTTAGGGTCTTGGGCATCATTCTGTACCACATGAATCATGCAACCTTTCAAATTCATACAAGTTAGAACTTGAATCAAGTTTAAACTTGAATCGGTTTAAAGATAAACAGACAAAAGCAACTCCAGATTACAAGAGATGTACCTAACAATTACACATTACTAGCCTCACCAAACATGCTCTTATCACATCAAAAAAGATTGTGTTTACCTCTTCCCCCCTCATCTTGTAGATGAGGGATATTATTTCTCATGGAGAAACTTAGAATAAACTAGAAATAAAAAAAGAGTAGAAGTGAGAAATACTATTGACAAACCTACGTATCAGTTATGTCTTCTTGACTAGGGTGCTAGTCAACTGTGGAACAGCATATTAAGATTATTATTTGAGAGAGGAAGTTTTGGAAAGGATGACTATAGAAAAAAATGGAAGAGTTTGGGACAAAAAAGTGCATGCAATTGCAAATTAAGAAAAATTAGTGCATATATTGCCAGCAAGTGTCTTTTCAATGCAAGAGGTAGCTCACAGTTAAGTAGATATTAAGGACTTCATATGAAAAACGTAAAAGGGTTTCTGCTTGGTTGGAGTTGATTCTGCAAATATCCAGAATTCTTGCTATTATGTCAAGAAAGAGTGAACACGTGAAATTAATTACAAAGTATTACAAAATCCTAGAGCAATAGTTCCTGAACTTTCTGGTTTATGACCCTATTGCATTTCTTAAAACCACATATTGTAGAAAACAGATCAATTGAATATTAATTTAATTACGTCTGTCTTTAAGTAAGAGCTAAAGAGAACTTTATCCTAAAATAGCCCTTATAAAAGGATTGTAAACCTTGCTAGCCTGAAATAAAAATTGTCAGTTGGTAAGCCCCCCACACAACAGGTTTCGTTAACAGCCCTCAGTTACATTTCTTTATCCTCTTTGGCATATAAACAATGTATTCATTTAAGAACTATTTTTTTGGCAGATGTTTGCTTTTGGATTCTATTCTACAGTCATAGAAATGGAATTCTGGATGGCTAAGGAAAGCTTTAGAGACAAATGTTTTTATTTTTTAAAATGAAGTTATTTGTGGTCGTACTATCATTCTGCAAATGAGAAAGCCTCACAATCACAAAAATCCTCACCGCTAAACTTTCATACTTTTAAAGAAAGTCACTGCTCTTTTATAGTATAGCTGCATATTTTATAAGCAGTGCGGATTTCTGGTCAACTGGTTTATATTTTAGTTTTGCAAGCATAAATTTGAAAGTGATCAATACAGCTAGTATTAGACAAGCCCTACTATACATGTTCATGTACAAAAAGTAATTTTTAAGGTAAGTATGTTTTCGTTAGGGAAACGCTCACAGATGTCCTGGTTTGAGGTAAAACATGGGAAGCAAAAGGTCTCCTTCGCAATTGTAGCTAGAATCTGCAAGTGTCACCACTAGCAGGAATAGTACCCAGATAACTTAATCATTGGAACTACAACATAATCTATCTTGTGCAAAATATATTTTGTCATATAAGCTACATTTGTTCAAGAGATTTTGGTTTTATTGTTATTCTAGAGGAAACCTTGTGCAATCAAAGCCTAGGACAAACTGCAGAGACAAGCATATACAAAATTTCATTACTGTTGATGAAAGCAAGCTAAAAAACACCATGAGGCTGGGGAATGTATCCTAAGGATTTTCATCATTCACCCAAACACGTTGTTGCATCAACTTGGCTTAGTTATTTCAGGGTGAAGTGGTTTGAGGAGACAAGGCCTCTTCCACCTAACCTAATACAGCCTAACCTAATACAGCAAAATGCCAAATCACAAATAGGCAATAACCACATACAAGAATGTTACTTGCGGTTATTTTAAAGAAAAAGCCAAACCCTGCACTGAATAAAAAAACCCCAACAACAACAACTTAAAGAATTCTACATATATAAACAAAAGACAATTTAATGTAAGTATTTAGCAAATATTATTTAATTGCATTATGTGACTTCGATCTAGCATACAACACAAAGCTACAACTTTATAATCTCTTCATATACCTTTCATTTTCACTTTATGTAAATCTAAGCAAAAAACACCCCACTGACAAAGCTGAGATACAGTACATCTGAAAAAAACCCCACAGTTCATATAACATCTTAATGATGCAAATACACAAACAATACCTGTTTTCAAATGTTGCTCAGCTTTCCTTTTGTGAAGCAGGCTCTACCAGACATGCATGCAGGACAGTTATAGCCACACTCCGATTTTCAGTTCTCTTAGCACCACTTTACAGGGTTTTTTCTCTACCCTGAACATTTCTGAGCTTATTGCTTTGACTAAGCAAAAGTCTCACGGAAAGACTTCTTTTTATATTAAATGAAATAAATTACAATATAGGGCAATGGAAATCCTAAGATCTGGATTATAAAGCACACACTAAAAGTAAGTTTTCTGACATCAATACAGCCAAATGAGAAACAGGATAATGAACAAGTTTTAATCTTGTTAGGGATGTATTTAATACTGAAATTTGCATCTACAGAAAAATGTTCACTTTGGAAGTATGCCACAGCTCAGCCCTAGACTCTAAGTTAACAAATTCATCATTCACACTTAAAATGCACAGCAAACTTTAAACCGGAAAGTGCACAGTACCATTTTTACTGAACCTGAATACAGAAACCTAATACTCTCTCCTTTAATGATGGAGATTATATTGATCTGTTGTTAGCATTAGATTTGTATAAATACATAAGTGCAAGTCATTATAGATAAAGATGTTGTAAATGCTAATGTAAATACATTAGCATGTAATGACACAAGGACCAACCCTTTTGGCAATGGCTGTTTGTTCCATAGTTGTCATATCACAGTTCACTGCAGAATGTTTTTAACAATATCCACATTCGCAAACTATCAAAAGAGTAACAATTTTATGCTACCAGAACGCCGAATGTTTTATCTTCCAGGTGATAATAACTTTACTGAATTTATTGACAGATGGTCTATTTAAGACATTAAAACAAGTGCAATAGGACACAGAAAAAAGACAGTATCGTCAACACTTTCAGAAAAGCTTACTTAGAAGAGTACTGCATTTTATGAGAGGAAATAAGCTCTGGTACAAAAATGGTATGGTCCCAATGGTATACCTACATTTTTCACTTTCAAGTAAGTGAGGTGAAAGAGCTATCAAAACCGATTAAAAAAAATAAAGCATCTTAAAAGTACAAGTAAGGCACGCAGAGAATTAAGTTGTACTGTGCCACCACAGAATCTCTATCCAGTCTAGACCAAAGGGGTGTACTCTGCAAAATCTAGTAAGACAGACCTGTACTGACTTTGGAATGTCAAAGAAGAAAGTATAACTGCTAGTAAAGTAAGTAAATACAATGTAGAACATACCATACAATTATAGTTTACTGTGACAAAGGCTTATGATGATGTTCTAAAATCCACAATTGAGTCCAAGTATGTTCTCCTAAATGAACTCCTCTGACAAGAGACCACAATGTGTTTCAAATATCTCCATCACTGTCAATGGAAAATTGGCAGTTTCCAGAGTAAGACATTAATAAAAACAGCAAAAGCAAAGTGAAGTATCATGCGGCAAGTCACACATATTAATCAAAACACAGTACATTTTTAGTTTTAACAAGACATCATAACTTTCAAAAGAAAACACCTTTATCACTTAGTCTTAGCACTTAATTCTTATGCACTTGGTGAAGAACTTAATTTAGTTCATTCAGTGATATTATTGATTTGGTTAAAGTGCTGTAGAAAGAATAAAAATAGTTTGCATTTCTCTATTAAAAACATTTTTTAATCCTCTTGAAACTTGCATTCAGTAATAATTAACTCAAATGTTAAAACTGTTGGAACAGCATTAGCAAGAAACAGCTGTTATCTTAGATGGCATTTATTAAAATATTTCATGTACTTTGCCAAAGTACCGTGCAAGAGAAGCTTATCTATGCCCTATGTGGGACAATCTCATTAGTCATCTTTTGCTTTTTCCTTTAGATATTGCCTCTCCATAGGTCAGGTGAATAAAGTCAAAGAGTTGTGTGGCATTGGCAGCATTACCCAAAATTTTGGTGAGTTTGTCCTTCGACAGTGTCACTAGCTCCGCAATGCTTTTAACATGGTTCATTAAGGCACGGCAGTTTTTTGCATTAATACCTGGCATTTTTAATAGAAAGTCCTGTGGACCGGGGTTATATTTGTCTGACTCAGGAAGAATTTCAGAATCTGCTGTGACGGCCATTGCTGTTTCTGCGTCAGGTTGGGGATGGTTTTGTTTTAACTCTTCAAACAGTTCAGCAGTAGCATGAGGAGAGGGACACCACAGGATTCGTAACTTTGGGAAATGGAGTGTAAGAAGAGTTAGTTTAGAAGTAACATCATTACTGGAAATTTCCTGATGTAGAGAGCCTCGTGGAATCAGGGAGAAAGATTTGTTAGGATCAAATTCAATCAGGAGAATCGGTCGCTTATAGTAACGGGACATAGAAGTGCATTGTGTATACAGCCTTCCATTATTTAAGGAACCAATCAGATCACTGATACTTTTCCGCTCTACACAGATATCAGGAGTTAAAATATAATCTCCAACTTCCAAAGTAACAGGCTCAATGTCAATGCCACGACGATGAATCAGTGATGGAAGCTCACTACGAAATTCCCGCATATCCACTATTACAGTTTGCTGAACACTCTTCTGTTCCTGTCCACCTAAAGAGCAAAATACAAATAGTTAACCTAATATTTATGACCTCAGACTCTGGTTGTAGTTTTTCTGTGTGCTGCCAATGCTTCTCTAATGGATGACTTCGCATCTCGCAGATCTCCACAAATTCAACAGTATAGTACACCCAGACTTTATTTAAGTTTTCACTGTTATAGACAAAAATTAGTTGCCAAATTATATACTGTATTTTATGGAGTATGCTCTGCAGTTTAATAGAACTATCACACTCCCTACTATAAGCTTTGTGTATGTGACAACGAAATATGTTAAACCATAGATGAAAATTATTTAAATGCATCAGGAAAATCTTTAAGAAGTTGCCTGCAAAACAAGGTAACGAAGCTGATCCTTTTTAGTCCCACCTATTTCCCACAGAAATATGGCATTTGATTGTAGGAGTTACATTTTCACCCCTTAAAGATCTGTAGAAGGATGCATGAAGAGACTACAGCGTCAAGGCCACAAAAGACATAATAGCAATTCCAGAGCACATGCTAAAGGACAGCAGGATTACAAAAATTATAGTAAAGAAAAACAGAGGCAGAGCTGTAAAGATGAAGACAGTATACATGTCAAAAGAAAGGAACAAAAGTGTGGTTAGAACAGCAACAAATCATGCCTTATTGCAAAGAAAGTAGACAAACCCCACAATCTGCAGTTGCTCACCCAGGCTGTTTTGCCAAGATCAAAAGTCCCCCCCAACATTTACTAGCTGAAGGATAAAACTGCCTTTGACCATCTGTAGACTTCAATGTTTTCATTCCTCTCCACCTCCCTATAAACATTACTGACAGTCTCATCACCAACAAGCTGCCCAGAAACAATCCAAATGCTGTCTCAATAGTAAAATACTTCATTAATCTACATTTTCTTTTCAAAGAAAAACATAATTCATTGTCATTGCACCACAGAGGTAGATGGAGGAAGGGAGACAAAGTTTCTTTACCATCAGGACTGCAGAGTCCATGTGCAATGTGTCAATGACCCAGAAGCTTTGGACGGGATGTAAACACTATAGTTATAGGTCTTTTTCAAAGCTTAGAGTTGCGAGCCCAAATTCAGGGACTGCTCACCTGCTTTGCGGGTGTCAGTAGAAACAGAGGCAGGTTTAGCATCTCTTATTAGGTCTAAGTTTGTTTCATCTCTTCCTTCTCTTTCTTCAGGAATTACCATGCTGGCCTTCTCTCTAAGGAACCACAAACACACACACACACAAAACTGAAATTATATGAGAAAAATAGATCAAAATACTGTAATACTCTTCAGTCATTATATGTAGTTTAATACTAATTGCAATCCTGATCAGAAACACAATTTACGAGCCTCTCCAGATTGTTGGGCTAGATGCTGTATTTTATTTCCAGTTGTGACCACTCCTTAGCATTTTTTTTTTTTTTTATTATTTTTAGAACTTCTCAGGGCATATGAAACAAAGGAACTAATGAGTAGTAATAGCAGTATAACCTGGCGAGAAGACGCTGTCAGTAAAAATACTGTCCTATACCGTATGAGAAAATAATTGTTTTGTTCCCCCAAATGACTTAAGTCATAACAGCCTTAGAAATATCTTACAAGAAATGGTTCCTGCAGAAAAAAACCACACATTTACAGAAATTAAATTCACAGACAGTTGGGGAAAAATACAAGTGGTGCTGTTTAGCCTTTGAAATTTAATATTAACCCCCCCTAAAATTAATAAGTAAAATATCAGGTGCTGTGGAAAAGAAGGTTTTGACTTTTTGTTGATTCTCAATGGGTAAATTCTCTTAACATCTGAAAAGGAATTGAATTAAAAGTTTATTTAAAGCCTTCACACAGTTAAGAACTGCACTCTATTTAAAATGTAAGCATAAGGGAATTACATGAAACATTAATAATAAAGGTAGTAAACTAATTTTGTTACCGAATGAGTTTTTCGAACGCCTCCTTCTCTTTTCTGAGAGCTGTGAGATAGCGCTGTTCTTCTGTTGAGCCCCCATAGATGAGGAAATAAACCCTAAAAGTTTGGGGGAGGGCAGGGGGGGAAGGAAAAGAACAGAAAGAGACCACAAAACTTCATATGAAGTTAAAAATTCCCACAATATTTAAGATTAGTAGCAGTAAGTGCCTGATAAGTTAGTATTTGCCTTAAAAAAGGCAAGTGAAAACACACGATCTTTTTCTGTAAAGATATTCCAAAATCAGCAACAAAAATTCTTATGTTGCATATTCCCTCTTTTCCCAGTGGCAGATATGCTTACTGGAATTCTGGGATTCAGCCAGAGCGGACTCAGGTTACAGTCAGCCATTCAGTAAAGACACAAAGCAAGTATAATGGAGAAGTTACTTTCTTACTGTTTTAAAAACCTTCCCAGTAGAATATATATAACAAACAAAAATCTGCAATCATCCTGGGTTAGGAAAAAACACCACCTAAGATTTTAAAGTGATTTCTACAAAGAACAAGCTATTATCTATCTCAGAGATGAACACACCAACAAATTTAAGTTTTATACTGCAAATAGGGATTTATGTGTAACATGTAAGAATTAATAATTACCTTAAGGAATTAATTGCCTACAGCTTTTCAGCACAATCATTTTTCCAATATATTTTAATTGAGGTACATTTTGACAGACTGATAGGATTTTATTCCTATTACTTTTTTCGTGCGGTGCATCTCCTAACCCCTACTTGCATGACTGCATCTGATTTTTCTGCTCTGAAGTATAGGAACCTGATGCTGGAGATAGATACAACACATGCTGATTAGGCAATTAAAAATAAATTGTACAAATAACCTAGTAATTATCTTTATGCAGTATACTTCGTGAGTTCTGTCATTTATATCCGCACTACAGAGTCCTTACCTTGATATCAGGTACAGACACACTACATACTGCCAAACTGATTCCCATTTTCAGTTACATTGCATGTATACAAATCTTTGACTGGAAAATTACAACTGTTCTGTTAAATTTATGCAAATAATTTTCATGAGATGATTAAAGTATAAAGCATTATAATTCAAAAGCTAATAATTTTATATGACAACAAATTGTGTTTCAACCGTAGTAAGTAAAGTTTGTTTATTCTAAGACTTATGAAACTGCCGTAAGTTATTTTCAGAGTGGTACAGGTATAACGACAGTTTACTGTATTCAAGAAATACTGTATCAGGGCACCATATAAATGACAGATAATGGAAAAACTCACAGTATATTAAATTTAAAACTTTCTATATTTGTAATTAGTCTAACATTTATGACTAAAAGTGGGGTTTGCAATTCACGAATGTATCAACTATATAAATACACAAGGCAGAAATCTTCTTGTCAGCTAACACCAGAACTGAGCATAACAGCAAAAACTTCTCATCTTCTATATTGTGTTTTCCTTTACTTGTTTTCCTGCTACAGTTTCTGAATTACTGGTCTTCAGCATGACCAGACATCAGGAAATGTGAAAATTAAACCCAAAATGAAGCTCATTGTGTCAAAATCATACTTGTAGAGATGGTTTAAAGTGAGACTACAGCACATCAAAATGGATCTATTGCCACTAAGATCATCTAAGCAGAGGTCTTGTGGAAGATGGAATGAACTTTTTTCTTTTGATCAGGTATGTTTCTGTTAGGGGACTAAATACCTGCTGGGAAGTAAAAAACTATCTTTTGGTTAAATCAGACATTGTGATTTTGTTTAAAATTAAGAAGAGGGCTAAACAGGAATTAAAAGCTAGCTAAAGAAAAAAAATAATCACTGGATGTACACTCTGCCTTGAGTGCTGAAATTGCACTTTTATTTTTTCTTTTAAAACTAAGCTTAGACTGACCAAGTCAACTTGCCTCAAAGGCTTCCCAGGCCTGCTTGCCTTGTAGATTTCCAGCTGCCGAACAAAAGTTAGTTCTGCATCATATAATACAACATATCTTGGTTCTACTTCATGCAGTACCCGAGTGAGTGCATAGGGATCGTTGCAACCCTGCAACGGGTGAATAATTGTGAGTGGGTTCTTGAAAATACCGTAGTAACAATCTGAGGGTAAGTTCACATGGAAATCTTCGGGAATGGTCTCTTCGATACCGCTTTCTTGGCTACTGCTTAATTCTTTATTATCTTCCACCTGTAACTCCTCTTGCTTTTCCTCCTCAGTTTTGCCTATCATCTGGATTATAGTCTGGTCTTGCTGCTTCTTGTGTTTATTTTGTTTTGAAGAAGCTGTGAGTTTGGCTTTTTTGGCTTGAGGCCCTGTGTCTGGTCTGGCATTTCCTTTGGACTTGACGGCTTTTTTGTCCTTAATCCACACTTCTCCAGCTCTCTCATCCTTTCCAAAGGTTTTGTTATACAGCCTTGTTAAAAAAGCTTCCGCTCCAGCAATAATATACTCCCTGAGCTGTGCACAAGCTCGGTCATCACTGGCACAAATAAGCACTTGCCCTGCAGTCAAGAAACAGTATGTTTATAATCTGTTGTGCTGTACTTCTTATCCAGCTACAAGACATCTCTCGAGCAAATTGTTTTTAATGATCCTAGAAGCATGCCTGCCAAATGCCTTTACACTTGGTTGTCACAGTTGCTCTGGGCTTCCAGGGAGTCTAAATTGCATGTTTTCTACCAAACAAAATTAGAGAAGGTTAATGAAAGTTCAGCATTCCTTAGTCTTATACCATCTAAATTAGTGAGGTTTTCCTTTTGACCATCTGAAACAAGGCAGATACAGCATGTATTGAAATATACTCAAGCATCTTTCTTTTTTTTTTTTTTTTTTTTTTTAACGTGGAATAAGAACAAACTTAATTTAGGCCATTCGAATTTTCAGCCTTTGTCAGTTGTGTTAAAGAGTTTAAAAAATACATGTTTCACACAGTATTATTGACATTTGTGGGCCGTGAATAACAATTCTCCACACGCTGACTCAGATAAACTCCTACAACACTAGGTGAGAGAGCCAGTTCTTATCCAGAGTCAGAACACTGTGGGTGGGAGAAAAGCGCACTTTTTTACCCTTACTATTTCCTAAAATAAAACTTGGTGAAATTTAAGGGATGAAAAGGCCCAAAATAGGAAAGGCAGCAAAGCAGTTAGAAACACACTTGCCTTCTACTCTCTACCCTGTTTAGGTGCATCTCCTGGAGAAGCAATTTTTCAGGTGCATGAGAAGAATGTGTGAGATGGAGGGGACATAAGACAGAACCCCTATTTTTTTTTTTTTTTTAACGGAACTTGATAAATGAGTGAATGGTACTTTAAATTTCTGCATTATTAGTTTTATTGGTTTGGAGACTAAGGTATCAGTACAACATTGAAACGTAAGTTAAAATATTTTTTGTAATAATTCAGGTTCTTTCCTAAACAGTATTGCATAGCAACCAACAGCATTTCTCTTTTAGAAAAAGAGTTAAATAAGAGTTTATGTAAAACTAAATAGTTTTACATAGTTTATGTACATGTGTACATAAACTTTGTCTTAAGTTCACAAATGATTAAATTTAAAGCTTTTTATTAAAACTACAGTAAAGAGTTAGGCTCCTTCTGTCAAAAGTCATGTAGAACTAAAAACTGGCTGTACTGTGAAAGCTTACATAATTTAGTATTCTCTCACCTGGACCACCAAGGTCTTCACTGTTGTTATTCTCATTTTCAATCTCTTTCAGTACTTCTCTCAAAGCTTCCCATTTTGGGTTACTTTCTAGAACCAATTCCCTTTTCAATTCTGAAACAAAACAAGATTGAACATAGCGGCTCTTACAGCCAAAATATCCTTCAGAACTTTAAATTAGTGGTTAGACATCAATAGTGTGATGGCTGTTGGCAAATATAATATTCAACAGCCTACATATGCAACTTGCTATGCTGACGGGTTGGAGAGCACTCTTACAGAAACATTTAAAAATGGGGATAAGTGCTTTAGTGAAGCAAAAAGTTAAAATTTTCACTCATCCTTTAGTTCTGAAGTTACTAAATATATATTTTTTAATAAAAGAAATTGCAGCCTCCTACCCGTTCACATAAAATAAAAGAGATCAAACTAAACACCAATGTAATTCAAGAACAATTCCATAAATGCTCTCCCAGTGATCAGCTGAGCAAGCTTAGAAGAATCCCTTGATTCTTTGCGACTTTTTTTTGTTGTTTATTACATGCTTTTTGAACTAAGATTATGTCTCAACTTATTCCAGCTAACAGATTGAGATCTTGAGCTGTGTAAAATCATGTGGGGAACCATAGCACAAGTAATAATATGCAGAGCATTTGAAATCGTGTGACACTCTCAAACTTAAAATTAGGAATGATGAGTACCATTTTCCTTCTTTACATCCCTTTTTTCAGAGACTTTGCCTTTCTGATTCAGTTTCTCATCTGCAATGCGATAAACTCTAGCTCGAGCATTTACAAACATTGAAGTACTGGAGTCAAGAAACAGCCAACCTAAAGAAGAAGAGAAAGTGATAGTAGTTTGACATTAGCAATGTGTATGCGTTTCAACCCTTTCCGGTAAAAGCCCCAAATCTCTCATCGGGAATACCTGTGCTACCTGCTTGCTATGTAATTACTAACTTAATAAAAGACAGAAGTGTGATGCAGATCTCACACTGTTAAGTAACAGCAGTTAAGTGGGAAGATGAAAGCATTATCTGTCAATAAAAACCTACGTCCTTATGGCTGGTTATATAAAACCTAATTAGATACCTTCATATGTTTGGGAATGTTAATTAAAAATATCAACATTTCACTGTTTCATGCATTAACTTGTATGGTTATTCAGTGTTTACCTGAATTCTCACCAAAAGCTTTTTCACTGGCTTTCAGTGACTCCAGAAGATTAAGGAAAGTGACACAATCATACTGAGTTAGATACAGCAGCAAAGTACGTAGTATCTTCAAATCCTGGACCAAAGATTTTGTCTTAGCTCCAAGTTGATGCCAGAGAGGATCTAAATAGTGACGTATTGTCTAGAAATATGAAATGGAAAGTTCAGCATGTCAAATATATAGTATACCAATCAAGATAAGAATGCACTTTTTTCCCCTTTGCAGGGCATGCTACTAGTTTCCCGAAGTTATTAAACCTACCCAATTAAAGATGTGAGGGCAAGCTATTTCTTTTGAAGTAGTCAGTTTTTGCAAAGTTACCATAATATCAATGCCTTTACATAAAGCATTTTAACAAGTCGCAGATGTATATAATTTAATGGTTTTAGTATTTATTTTCCTTTCCATATAATAATAAAATATTAATACAATAACGCCCACCCCTGCCCTAGCTTTGATTTTACTGGTATTTGCCTGTGCCTTTACTATCTAGTATCCTTTACCTAGGTAAAATAAAACAATTATGTGATTTGATATTTTAAAATGAGATGAGTAGCATGCAGATATGCAACCTACAAAGCACAAGAAAAAACCCTCCAAATAGTTAAAGACCAGAAGGCCTCACAACAAGATTAAATCACAGGTAACAAATAACC